CCAAGATTTGTCTTTATCTTATGTCTAGGTTTTAATCCTTTGCAAATAACTGAACAAACTGCAAAGAGACATGAAGCATGTTATCTGTACTTACACATAAATGTCATCACGTTCCATAATACTACTTAGATTTTCATCCATGCCGAATATCCTGTGGAACCTGTGATTGTATATATCAGTAACAATCATCTAAAAAGAAAATAAAGTATACATCATTAAATCAGGTTAATATGTGTGAAAATGTTCATTGTTGTGCTTCATATAAGAAATCACTCTTACCTTATCTGCAGCAACACCAGACAAAGCTGACAATGCTGTGCAAAGATCCAGTATATTTCCAATTTTGGGAACAACTACTTTGTACTAGAAAAAATAAAATGTCACTTTAATTTCTTAAGAGAACAAATATGCATGAGGAAAAAAACCAACCAACTTATCACATGTTCAGCATACTTCAGGTACTTCTTTCAGATTCTTGAACTTAAGGTGTAAAGTACGTAAATCAACTAACACAAATTCCAAAAACTGCTGAAAACGTAGTAGTTACTTTCACAACTTTACTCATACAAACATGCGCACTTTGAATACTACATTTATTATTTTATACAATGCTTTTTTTATGTTACTTTCTCCATAAGAAGACTAACAGCACCATTTACTTAGATTTGTATTTCAACAGCACCTACTTATTTAAGCATTTAAATAGTATGCATGCTATTGACTAGACTCTTACATTTGGAATACAACACAAGTTGTTCATAAAGTATTACTGGGAAAAAAAGTAATGGCAGGCAATGGATAAAGACTGAATTCTAATTTCACATGCAAAGAGAACCTGATGATTAACAGTCAAAGAAAACCTCTCTGTGGCTTCCCTTAGTGCAGTACACCTGCAGTTTGTAATGAAACTCCACACAGGACTCTTACCTGTTATTTGCATAATAAATAAAGACAGGATTAATTAGAAATAAGGTATTATAACTTTGTAATTAATTGCCAAGTACAGCATGTGTTTGGTATCTCTTTAAGTCTTATAGTTAGACTCACAAAAGCTCTACTGAACTCGTATTCTTCCCAAACTCCATTCATTCCTGCATAACCATCTCACATGGCATACAGCATCATCTTCAACTACTGTGTGTCCCTTGTGCAAACCTCTTCTCACATATAATTAAATTTCTAGCAGGCTCATCTCCTACTAGTTAACACATGTCCCTTTATCTTTGACTTCCCTAACTCATATTGCCTTTGAGAACACTCCCTTTTCTCCCACTTTCCTTCTTATAGTACTCTCATTTCAGGCGTTAAAGCCTTTTTGCAAGTCTGCCTGACTGCCCGTGTCTTATTTATTTCAGCTATCCTTGCTTACCCCGTAAGGTACAGCTAGAACCATTTAATCACGCTTCTGTTACCGTAACCTATCTACACTGTTTCACGCCATTCTAAGGTGTATAATACCATCCTTCCTAAAAAAGGCAAAAGAGATACTCTTTACAAAGAAACCTCATCTGAAATTTGTTCTTTTGACTATTAAGTGATAGCATAGAATAATTCAGAACTACCTAATATATTTAGTCATGGCGGTTTTTTTGCACCACTTTTTACCAATAATCGCTAAGAAACTGAGGAATTAAGTCTGGAATAAGTGTATAAATATTTTTTTTATAACCATACAAATTCATTATAGCAACACTAAAATAAAAAATGAGGATAGCATACATTTTAAAGATTAAGAAGCCTTATTAACACAACCTTAAAGAAACTACCAATATCTTCCTTGAAAGTGATAGAAATATAAGAAGGTATGTATAGTTTTCCTCAGGCTTTCTAAGTGGGACTTCAGAACACATACCAGAAAACTAAAGCTTGTTGGATTTGCTTATTGTACTTATAAATTTAAAAAAATGTAAAGGAACTCAGGTTCATTGTTAATGCCACATGAATCAGGAGTTTTGTACATAAACTAAGAGGCTTACCTGCATAGGCTTTGCAAGTGGATCCATTCTAACTAAATAAACTTCCAATGTGCGTTCTTTTTTCATAGGTAATGGAAGTGTCAAGTAACAAAAGGGATCAAAGGTTACAGATATCTTAGCACATTCAGGACAAACTAGGGTGGATTTAAAAAGGCCATGAAATATATCTACAATGATGGAATCATTTCTTTTCAAATGGTTTTCCCAGGCTTCTTCAGCAACCACCTGTAATTAAAGCATGACCTGGGTTATGACAAAGTAGTAGGAAATGAATAGTGAGAATTATTAGCAAGAGTACATGATAGAACACTCTCAGTTACCACCTAAACATAGAAATCTCACTCCAAAGGACCCTGAAAGATATGTTACTACTATGAGGATCACAGGTAAAAAGATACAGGTAAAAAGATACATGCTTTTCCTAGGACAGAGATTCTGTCAGTGGTATTACATAGTCTGAGAGAAACTTCAAGTGGCCTGGGGCAAGACAAAAGCAAATAAAACTAAAAATTCCATCTGAAATAACTCATACTTGTAACAAAAGAAATTATCTATATGCTTGCAGCTCAATGCTAGAAGAGTTTCCCTAAAGTAAGAGTACTGGAGAGAGACAGAACGCTGCATACTGTAGACATAAAAGACCAACAGAATGGAAATCTTTTTTCCAACTGAACTCAGCATTGAATTGAACAAAAAAGTCTCAACAAAGCCTTAACACCCTCCTACCCCTCCAATTATCTTCCAAATAAACAGAAATTTACACAAGTACTTGAACAAGATCTCCATTTTAAGGTCTTGGCTTATTTTTCAAAATCTCTTCCCCAAAAATCAACACGTGATCAGTGTCCCAACCTTTCAGTGCACAATCACGTACAAGTATCTTGCAACATATACCCTTGACTAAAATGAAGATCAACACCAAAACCACTACCTTGTCTGGTCTCCCGTCTGCATCCTTTAACTGAATGTAAGGCTTTTTCCTAATTCGATTCAAATCCTCATGTAATCCATCCAAGAGAAAAGCTAGTAGCTCTTGACAATCTTGTTGCTGATAACCAGAAAATTGTGGTGCAAATCGTCCCACTTGTGTCTAAAAAAAAAAATACAAATACTTCTGGTACCTTAATTGTTATAACAAGTAGATACTTCTGAGATGCTACAGGAGAAAGTTGGAAAGGTAAAACTTACAAAATTATAGAAGATAAGCTTTTCAATGGAGACAGGAAGCCAAAACTAATTCTCAAAGACCAAAGCACAAGGACAGTTGACACTTATTTAAATACACATCCTACCTGTTTTAATAGTTAAATCAATAGACTGCATACTGATGAGTATTACTTCAAATTCTAATTCTTGCATATTTCTGTTAAGTTTTGTATACTTGAACTACAAAACCAAAACCGACAATGTACATTTGGGTTAAATTCTGTACTGACCTTAAAAGCTCTTGGGGTAACATAGCTGTATTTTCCTGACCACATTTGCTTGATAAGCTCTGCATAGGATTTTGCTATTTCACCTCGCATTCCTAAAGGATTGTCAAAATTCAGCTCTTCTTGGTATTTATCATTGAGGAAGTATTCTGTAAGAGGAGGTGTGTTGCTCAGACACTGTAAATAGAAATACAGAATTTTTAGAACAGCAATTTGAATTAGTTCTAAAGAATGTTTGAGCTTTGTTAAAGCAGCCATAAGCAATACTTTAAACTGTAACGTCTAGTGCCCGCAAGGGTGGTGGTGGGGGTGGGAAGTCTCTTCCAGAGCAAATAATGGTTTTAAACCAAGACTGGTTGCAGTTATCATTACAAAGTATGCACAGATAATATTTTTCAAAAGCTTTATGTCAAAATTTTTTAGACATAGTAGTCTAGCCAACACAATTTGTATTAAGGTTCAGAACAAACAAAAGAAGGTGGTTCTTGATACATGAATAGTAGCTTTATGAAACCCCTTGCTGAAAGTTGTTATAGATGCACAAACTTTACAGGGCCTTAAAGAGCGACTGCATAGGTACTTCGAAAAGAGAGCCAATAGGGCTTATTAAATCATATTATACCACATTCAGAACAACATGTGAGTGGAAAAAATTTGAAAACTGAGAGGTATTTTCTTGGCAGGGGTGGAAGGGAAGGTGAGCATGCTTACCCTATTCCTTCTCTTCCTAGGCATCTGCTTATCAATGCTGTTGAAGACAGCAATCTATGCTAGACGGACTAGACCTTGAATCAGAATTGGTGCAGCCCTTCCTATGTTCTTCTAAATTTTCTGAAGCTGTTTAGAGCCAAAATTAGTTCAAGGAAAGCAAGGGCCTTGGTTTAGACTGAGATAATGACTTATCCTATGTACAAGTTTGTCTCTTCTGTCAGCACTAAAGAGATAGTAGGATGTAATCACTGAAGTACGATTAAGCTGTGAACTTTTGTGTGCTACTTCTCACACTCCTTTAAACAAAAACTTTTCCATCACTCTGAAATGATCCCCATGCCATGCCTTAGCATACAGATTTAGCAAAGTTTCTTCATTAAATATTATAAGCTTTTCTGTATTCTTTCCTCTATTAAAGATTCCAAGAAAAGTCAAATATTTCATCAATCTCATCTACCTCTCTTCAACAAAGGGAAGAACAAAAATTTTAGCTCCATATACGCTACTGTATAAGATGCAACAATTCAGACTGGAAGAATTACAACTTTACTGTCAACACTGCAGAAAAAATCCTGGTATTACAGGCCCTTTTGGACACTGAGGGTTGAAGAAAGCTCATTTTTCTCTTGCTACATGGCAAAGAGCTTTTATTCCTAGTAGTGGTGATCCCAAGCCCCCTCTACCTCACCGAGCAGTGTTGTCAGTTCTGAACTGATCCATGCAGCTAAGAGGAGAAACACTTGGTCTCTCAAGTGGAGCAGGGAGGTGATTGTCCCCCTGTACTTGGTGCTGGTGAGGCTGCACCTCGAATACTATGTCCAGGGCTCAGGGAACTGGGGTTGTTTAGCCTGGAGAAGAAGAGCTGAGGGGAGACCTTATCGCTCTCTACAACTACCCGACAGGAGGTTGTAGTGAGGTGGGTGTTGGTTTCTTCTCCCAAGTAACAAGTGCTAGGACAAGAGGAAATGGGCTGAAGCTGTGCCAGGGGAGGTTTAGATTGGATATTAGGAAAAATTTCTTCATGGAAAGGGTAGTCAAGCATTGGAACAGGCTGCCCAGAGGGGTGGTGGAGTCACCATCCCTGGAAGTGTTCAAAAAATGGGTAGATGTGGCACTTTGGGACATGGTTTAGTGGGCATGGTGGTGTTGGGTAGATGATTGGAATGATGATCTTAGAGGTCCTTCCCAATCTTAATGATTCCTAGTTTTTACTTTCATTATAAATAATCCAGCCACCAAGCCAGGAAACATGAAATTGCTGCTCTACCCTTAACTGGTTTAATGATGGACTTGGTAGTGTTAGGTTAATGGTTGGACTGGATGATCCTAAAGGTCTTTTCCAACCTAAATGATTCTATGATTCTATGAAATCCATATGGAAGCAGTCAATCAGAATTTTCAAAAGATTATTTTGAGCATCAATCTAAAGGAACAGATGGACTACCAAGTTCCACCAGATACCCAGGAATAATACAGTGCAAACCATGCTAAACTAACTATAAATAAAACTACACTTTAGGTAAAATTGCATGTTCAGTATGAGTGATGTGACAAATCCTACTGCCCAAAGAAGTCCTGTCCCTTCTCTGCTGATCCTCATCTGTTTACACAATAAACATATTCATCTCACTAACGTGTCAAAAAACTATTTTTTTCTCCTCACTCTTCTTCTGGATTATTTTTGGGCTGGTTTAGGAGATCAAATCAGTCCAGCTGATCAGCTTAGTGTGAGGAATGTCCAGAACAAGGAACTAAATAATGCAAAAATAGTAATTTTTTCTATAGGTTCTTAGTCAAGCACTATATGCTGACAGTGTGTTGTTTCACCAAAAAACTAGTTTATCTTTTTCTAGTTTTTACCTGATAAATTAGTTTTGTCACTTTCTCAGAATATTAATTTATATTTGTATGTATAAGTCAGGAAGATTACTATGTATAATTTCCCTTTTTCCTTATAACAATATCCACATTCCAACATAAGATGACACTGATGGTAGTACTGGAATGCAAAAGTATCTATCTGAACACAGCAGACATAGAGCCGAGATCATTTCTAAAATATCACATGCCACAACTTTTAAGAGTAGCTGCTAAAGGAGCTAATACCATTGGCCACATACCCACTAATCTTTTCAACATAACTGACAAAGCTAAATAATTACAAACATGTTTACTTCTTGAAAAGGCTAACAGTGGAGAACTATTTAAGATCACGATTAAAGTGACAGGGAAAAAAAGCATCCAGAAGCGAATTTGAAAGGAAGCCTACATTCTTATTTTCTCATGATGTGATATGTTGTAGGTTATCAAGGAAGCCTTATGGAAAGCATCAATTTAAAAAAAAAAAAAAAAAAGAGCTATTAGAACCACAACAATCTACTAGATAGCAAATTCGTGAGATTTATGCATCCTGTTCAACCTAGTGGTTTTGGGTTTTTTGTTTGTTTTAAAACACAGAGATAGGTAAACTAACAAGCATACCAACAGATGAAGAATAATAGAAACCAAAAAAGCTAAACAAATATGGTAAAACTACAGAAGACCATTTGTGAACTAAAGAGGTAACAGAATGGCATTTTATTTCAGCTACTGCAGTCTCCATGAGTTTTCTTTAACCAACAAAACTTCTGTAAAGTGCTCAGTCTCTGAACCCAAACTGGTTGTTCAGCTAAATGATCATGGGAAAAGATGGAACAGAAGGTAGAAACTCCGAGACCAAGTATGAGACAAGCCACAGAAGAGAAGGATCAGTCTTCAGCATGGCAAAGGTTAACACTGAAATTACAGTTCCATGTTACATATTAATTACTTGGGAAAAAAAGGGAAAAAACGATTTTTCTGTAGCAGAGCAATCTGTGGATAACAACGATTTATGTAATCAGTATCAAGGGATCATAATCAACCTCCAAGAAAATCAGACAAACAATGCAACTAGACAAAACAATGCTTCATACAATTTTTGCATCAACTGTATTATGCAACACTGCATTATTGATGTATGTACACATGCATACAAACACCCTGGAAGAATTCTAAACTATTGAGTAAAAAAGGAGACCTAATCACCTGTAAAGACACATATAGTCTACTGTTTAGAGAGCAAAGCTGTGGCTAACTACACTGTGGGAGGTATTAAGATGAACAGGAAAATGAACAATAAATAATCTTCATTTTTAGTGCCTTATATATATCTCAATGCTGTAGCCTCACTGGAATACTGTAGTTCCAATATTAGACTATGATCTTGTTAGCAAGTCTACCTGTCCTATGACATCTTCACATAGGTAGAAAAACAATAATAAAAATAGTCACGTTATACTTCTCTAAATCCACATAGCTTAAGTATGGGAAAACTCTGATAGAAGAGTTTACAATGACTCTGACTGATTGATAAAAATAAAATAAAATGAATGAAGAAAGAGGGCCATCGAGACAGTCAGTGGCCTGGCAGCACTTGCCCTGTGAGAAAAGGTTGAAGCATCGGGGCTTGTTCAGCCTGCAGAAGAGACTGTTTCAGGGAGACCCAGCAGCAGCCTTCTAGTACCTACAGGGAAGTTACGGAGAAGATGGAACCAGGCTCTTCACAGTGGTGCACAGAGGGAGGACAGGAAACAGTGGGTGTAAGTTGAAACAAGAGAGGTCAAGGATATAAGGAAAAAAGTTTTCACCATAAGAACAGTCAAGCAGCGGAGCTGAGAGGCTGTGCAAGCCTTCTTGGAGGTTTTCAAGACCCAACTGGACAAAGCCCTGGGTAACCTTGGCTGACCTCGGAGCCAACTTTCATTTGAGCAGGAGGGTGCACTAGAAACCTCCTGAAGTTCCTTCTAACCCAAATTATCCTATGATCATAAGGTAACAAGGAAACATTTATTCACATCCCATAAGGGATATTACATAGAAATAATGATAAAAATAAAATTTCAGATCAAAGAAAATATCATTACCTATTATGCCAGTGAACTCGGAAAATGAGAAACAGACAATAAGATCATGAAATTGAGCTAAAAATTGAGTGTTCCTGTAAGTATCATGATTCTTCAGCTGTCCTACTTAATAACAATTTAATGCAAGGGGCATTGAAATTTCATATTCAGCCTTCTAACAAAAGAGCAAGAGCTGACTGACTGAAAGAAAGATCCAGGTAATAGGAGAAAAAGTGAACTACTTTACACCTGTCTGTCCTACTTTTGTCTGAAGTGCTTAGTGTCAGACGTGAAAAGTGCTCAGCTAATACACCCCTTAACCCAAACTCCATACGCCTATGGCAACTGAAACAGAGCCCTAAAAACTTAATCATTTCAGGTTCTGGTGAAAGATGTTATGTTTTGTCTGGATCAACTCACAGCCATAGGTAACTGTAGAGGGAACGTTAATCAGCTTTCTGAAGAAAGAAAACTGCTGAAATAGCCCATTGCAAAGATCTCAACAGCTGTTGTTCAAAAGTCAAGTATGTATAATCACACTGATGGAAAAAACATAAAAATGAAAATGTGGGGAAAAAAAAGAAGTATTTTTAATTAAAACATTTACTTTCATTCTTCTCCTGTTGTTGAATCACAAAATGAAAACTTTGTGATCTCTCAGGTTTTCACTGCAAAAGAAAAAAAAACATTTCTCACAGAGCTCTAATCACTAGTATCCCACCAAAAGGGCAAAGCAATACTTAGGAAACATCCACAGGTGGCAGCACAACAATGCTTCAGGATATTAATATTTTTCTAATTTTTTTCAGCTTAGAACACAGTCATGTACCTAACTGAATGTGAATAAAATATCTACTTGCCAAATACTCTTTTTTTTTTGCTTGATATGGGTTCAGGCATTCATAATAATATGTTTTTGTAAAGTCCACAAGCTCCCTTTTGCCTTTCCTGTTTTATTTAATGCCCAGATCTGCAAAAGCAGACAGTTAGGCCTTAATAATAAAAATCAAGCCCTAGGTGTTAGCACTGAAGTAAATTAAAATTAGACACACGGAATACCCCTTCAAAAGAATCTGCAGAATCTATACAGAACTTCCAATACAACCAAAATATGAAATATTATTGAATAATTGCTTTTTAAAATAAGAAACAGTGATAAGACAACAGCACTTGGGAGAAATACACTGGTACCTTAACCTTCTTGGCCTTACTCTTACTCAGCTTGCAGCTGTTTGTGGTACCACAGAGGATTTTACCCATCTCTTCACCATCTCTCCTCTAGTTGTCTTGAGCTTTGTAACACTGAAAGCCCCTACTTGGAAAAGAAAAGGTCTCTTTACAATAATCACTTAGAAGGATGAAGGGGCAAGCCTAACCTTACCTACAAATTTAAGAACTATTAATGAACTTGCAACAAAATGTAAGAAACTGCCAGGATTATTGTATTTGCCCTGTAACCATACTAGGTAGAAAAACCTTCAGACAAGTTTGTCATACTCTAGAGAGCAAGATGTGCAAGGAACTGGCCCTCTTCTTCAAAGAACACTGATAACAGTTCTGATGCAAACCATCTTCACTGTACATGAGACGAGAGCAAAGAGAAGCTGTCTGAGAAATGAAGTGGTTTCTAAAGCAGAAATGTCTCTTATGTGAACACTAATGGGCCTCAATGCTGTCTGGGAAGGATGAAGATCTGTGAAAAGTGGTAATCACCAGGAGAGTGTAGATAAGCTAAACTCTGCTTCTGTTGAAGGAAGCTACATTGACTACACCCAGCACTGTCTGAATGGAAGAGATCAAAGCAGAGCTTTTGGAGTAGAACATGAATGGAATTGGAAACTATTTCAGAGTCTAAAACTCTACAGTAAACTATTTTGTTTAAAGAAAACAGATTTATCCTGGTAAACAAGCCTGTGTTGATGTAATTGTGAAGGAAGACACCTTAAGAAGGTAAATAAGCTGGAGTAGGTAACCAAAGCACATCAGAGAATCACAGAATAGTTGAGGTTGGAAGGCAGCTCTGGAGA